TATAATATATAAGATATCTGTACAATATGTGTTCTATTAAATATTTACAGTTATCTCTAATAGATTTCGCATGCCTTTTTGATAAGGAATTATTAAAAACTTTTCAGCTTGTGAAATTCATGAGTAATATTAAAAATACAATTTTAACAATTTAAAAAATGGTAATCTTATCAGATATGTTTAAAAGAATTATTATATAGTCTTACACTAAAGATTCCTAAATTCCATTATCGACAGACTTCGATCGAGCTTTGCCCATTAATGGCAGCTTCAACTGACTGGGGAATTCCAAGGTTTTGCTTTTTCTGCTGCACAGATCTAATCGTCTGATATCTATAGAGTATACCATATTGATAATGCTTATATTTCGAAGTACTTAAGTTCAAACATGTCTGCTCACTTGATAACGATAATCAAAATTCAATTCAAATCGAAAAGCATATGAGAAGCACTTGTATATATTTATGGAAATTCCGTGAATCTAGTCCGAAAATTGTGACGATTTTTGAACAACTGCTAACAGCTTATACATATAGAGTAGTGGGACTCGAGGCGCCCTTCCCTGCCGAAAATATTGGCAAATATTTACACTGCTCTTCTCTTTTTTTATGGGTTCTACATTAGTGGGGCGCTCGTCAGGTCTGTTGACATTCCACTTTGTACCGAGCTCTTGACTCATAGAATGAGTTGATTATCTGACTATCAAAAGTTCTTTTTGTATATTTGCACTCAGTCACTCAAGTGAATTGAGCATATCGGCTTGTGCATCTTTTTGTCTCTCCGTCTATTCGCCCGTCCGTCTGTATGAACGCAGACCATTTCATTGCCATTGAAGGGAGAGACTTGGTATATATACTCGTGTATACCCTCGTGATCGTAAACTGATAAGATCTTCCCAGGGGAATGGCATATCGGGAATATTGTTTTGCGGTATGTCAGAAGACTTCCGGCTTCGAATGTGGGGCGAGTGGGGAAATCGGATAAAAGGATTACAAGGCCTTGTACTTGATGAGGTTTGCATCTAGAGCGAGCATTCTGCAGTCGGTAGCGCTCGACGGCCATGTTTTTGCTTATTGATTGATCAGTTTCGCTCAATGCCCAAAAGTTATTGACAAAGTCGAATTCGCTGTTCGCTGATTAATGATCGTGACTTGCCGAACCGATATCGAGCTCTCATCAAGTATATATCTTAGGCACAAACTCATTGCGTTGACATGGTCAATGGCACCACCGGGATTTTTATCGCCCGGCGAGTCCTGATTGCCTAGGCTCAGTTCAATATTTGCTCGATTCTCGACTTAACGCATTTCGATGCCTTAATGCGTTTCATGTAAATTCCTAATTTAACTGCCAGTCGCGTCGCATCGCCCATGGGACTGCACATTTGTGCGGTTAGTTTATTGGCCGAGCTGGGCCGGCCAGCCGGCCAGCCGGCAACGGCTGACAATTGGCAACGGCCATAAACCGGTTTAAAGCCAACAAACCAAACCAAACCAAAGCCAAGCCAAGCCAAGCTGAAGCAGAGATCAGCGACCCAGCTGATTTCTGCCCACGGGCAGAGCTTTTTCATTCAATCTGTCAAATGCGAGCGAGCCAAAGGGCAGCTGCTGCAACTTCATTCGTTTCAGTTCGGCTACAAACTCACACATAGCATACGCACACACCCACACACACATTCACAAACAAATGTTTCGCAACATTGTCTGTTAGCGCGCTCAGCTTCGGCTTCGGCTTGAGCTTCTGCTTCAGCTTCTGCTTCGGTTTTTGCTTCGGTTCTCGACTTCTGCTTCGGCTTCAGCTTCAGCTTCGGCTCCAATTACCGGCAATGCATGACACATCGCTCGCTGTTGCTGATGAGCAGCCAGCATGACTTGTCTTTTCGGGTACTACGAAAAAAAAAAATCAAAAACAAGTAACTGCGCAAGGCGGGAGTAAACGACTAGGGGATGCCCTGAATTCAACGCACAGTGATTATAAATGGAATTAATTAAGCATAGGCAAAACGAGGGAATCTCATTCAAATACACATATGAATTTGTCTCTTATACTTGAAGGGAAAAGGGAAGGGCGAGTAGGAGCAAGAGATAGGAGGAACTAAGTCCGTGTATTCATTTCAGAAACTCCCACTGTAAGTTTAAGTTTATGGTATGGTATTCAAGCTAACGCTCAAAAGGCCAATAAACATAATCGATTTTTATCGATAGTAAGAGCGGAGTTATCGTAAGTAAATAATATATGTATACAGCATACTACATTACAAGCCTCTGTTTCAATTATAAGATTTCAAATCTCTAACTTTGTGGCTTAAGAGATCACGGCTACAGACCGATGGATGCACAGACGGACGGACAGATAGAGAAATGGAAAAGGACTTACGAACACGGCTGGATCGACCATCAGATAAAATCAGCGCGTGCTCCTGATACACTTCATGGTATCTGACGTGTCTTTGCCTGTCTGTTGCATACATTTTCACGTAAGCAATATACCCCGCATCAACATTCTCAATGAGCTCTGTGTACAAATATACGTCAAGCCGAAGATTAGATATGCTTGCATACTTAGCAATAATATTTATAGCATCTGTGCAAATTATTTGCAATCACTATTACTGAGAAAAAATAAAAAATAACAACTAAAAAACCAACGAAAAAAGCGTGATTTAGATAAACTAAAATACAAATATATATGTGTATAAGCATGTATGTATACATAYATGTATATGCATATAGCGAGATCTGCTCAAGAACCTCGGATTATTGGGTTTGTACTGATATTCCCCACCTGGGCTTGAATATTTTGAATACATAGCTAATGCTCGTCATCGACTCTTGTCTATTCTGTCAAAGTTAGCACTTACAACTAATGACTAGACTACCCCAAATATACCCCCATAGGACTTTGTCTTGTTCCCTGTGAACTAAAGAGACCCATCAAAGACTTGAATGGAGTTCGAAGAGATCGGAAACTCACATATGTTATACTATATTATAATTATATATAGAAATATAAATGAATCTGATCTATGCTATAAAGTGAATTGGAATTGTCAACATAAAGTCCAAATAAGACTCTAAATATTCAACCTATCTGAGCACACACCAACAACTGCTGGAACAGCTTCCCCATCAGGCGTTACGAACCGCATTGAAATCTGTCATAGGGCCGAGCTGGGTTTGTTGTGTCTAGAGCCTCAATTGAAATGCTGGTTGGTAAATAAATTGTTAATTGATTGGCGCATGCGTCAAATTTGTTTGTGATGTAAACAAATAAAAAATAATAATAAAAAAATAAATATAAGCAAACCATAAAAACAATCACATGAAATCCAATTAAAGTCGCGTTTTGTCAGTTGTTCAGCTTAGGCATATTATTAACAGTAAAAAATAATTGGCTACATTCAATTATATATACAAAATGTACAATGTATTTTTAAACTAAATCACAAAAAAAAAAAAAAAAAAAAAAAAAAACATACAACATAGACAACAATAAAAAAAATCTTGGCTAGACTAGGAGTTACAGATGGGGTGGGATGATGAACGATGCATGATAGGGTTGGCATGGGTTTGGCATGGCGGTGTAGGTCACTTGAAGTCAGCATCGGTGACTGGCGGCGACTTGCGACGTCGGGAACGAATCCAGTCCTCGATGTACCAAAGGCTAATGGCCGTAACGCAAAGCATATTGAAACAGTTAAGGACGACCGGAGTGCTGTGTATGAGGCCTGGTAGTGGGACAGGGAATAAGCAAGGACATTGGTTGATTAGTGAATGCGGCAGGAGCGTGCAGGAATCACCACAGCTACTCACCGATCATCGGCCCGAAGACCATGGAGAATGTGCCCGACATCAGCAGCTGGAGGCCGGCAGCGGCTGGCAGACGCTTCAGCGGCACATAGCTGGGTATGATCAGGGACCAGAAGACGGTGCGGAAGGCCTTGTTCAGGCCCAGCCAGAGAAATATGGAGATCATCACGTAGAAGTTGGTGGTCATCGAGAGCATAAACCGGCCCAGGCACATGCCCAGGATGCCGACCACAAAGAACGTGCGATTGCTCCAACTGAACTTGGCCGTGATCAGTGGGATGAGGAAGCGTATGATCAGATCGAAGAAGCCCAGCAGCGACATGGCGAACGCTATCTGATTGCTGTTGAAGCCCAGATTGTTCAGTATGAAGGGCGTCAGGATGGCGAAATTGATTTCCACAAAATTGATCAACGTAATGCCCACGGCCAGGTTCACATAAGTGATGTCGCGCAGCAGATCCAGATCGAAGAATATGACAATCTTCTGCAGGAAGGACAGCTTCTTGCGGCGCTCCAGCTCCTGTTCGTCCTCCAGCTGCTGCTGCTCCTTGGCCGTCAGCTGTGACGTCGCCTTCAGCGGCTGCGTTTGCTCCCGACTCTCGATTTCGTACTCGTACTCGGGCTCGTCCTGATCGTGCGCCTCCTCCTTGATGCTGTGGCTCACCGAGATGCTGCGATGCTGCCGGCCGCCACCCGAGTCACGGCTGCTGAGACGCCTCAGCTCCAAGTGGCCATTCTCGCCCGGCTGCACCCGATTCCGTGTGCCGCTGCTGTTCAGCGATGCCCGGGAGCCGAACCAGCCGTCATTGGCACGCGGCAGCACCGGCGTCTCGGGCTCCACCACATGCTTGATAATGTCATCGTCCTCCTCGTCGGCCAGCGCCTGCGACTTCTCCGTCTGCAGCGCCTCCGCATCCTTGTTGCGCTTCACCACATGCCACTTCACAGGCTGATAGATCAGCGAGCAGGCGATCGTGTGCAGCGAGGCGCCCGCAAACAGCAGGACGGTGCTGACCACACCGAACTCCCGCAGCAGGAACGTGGCAAAGTAGGGGCACACGATGGGTCCAAGGCCGGCTACACCGAACTGGTATGCCGTGGCGGTGCGCCGCTTCAGCTTGAAGTACGTGTTGACCGCCAGCGAGGAGGCAGACACTGTCAGGCCGCGGCCAAAGCCGTAGATGATCGAGAAGCTCAGCAGGTAAATGGTGAAGGTGTTGGCGAACACCATCCAGAACAGACCCACAAAGGTCAGCACCGACCCGACCAGCGCCACGACACGGTACGTGAACCGGCGGAACAATGGGCCGTTCAGCAAGCCTGCGAACACATTGAAAGAAATTGACTTCAGATGGAGAATTCGGGAAGTTAACTAGGGGGGCATACATAAGTCAGAGTGCTCTAGGCGGGAGTGCACGACTACGAAATACCATTGAGAATGAGTATTGAGAGAGCTGTGTTGGTTCTTCTGGACAAGGAAGATTGCTTCAATGGGAAGTGCACGACTACAAGATACCCTAATTCAATTATTCTGGTTGCGACTCCAGTCGAGACTGCTCGACTAGGAGATACCCTGAACCCTCCAAGCTGATATTCTAATCTTTCTGCACTTCTTCTATGTACACATACATACACATGCGCTTATAAGCACGCGCTCTGCTAACTGCGCAGTAAGCAGCGGCTGCGCTTGGGCTACGCTGCAATGTGGGCAATATTATGACAATTTATTTGTTGAATAATTTCGTTTGTGTTAATGAAACTTTCAGAGCGTAATCATATGGTTAAAATGTGTGTACATTCCAAAGCACAAGTCTCTAGTACTTGAAATGCATTTTTTACAAATTGGGGGCGAAGGGGGCGTGGTATCCAAAATCTGTAAATTACAAAATCTTTGTGTCCATTAACTCTATATACAACGCAAATTTGAAGTCTCTAGGTTTAAAAGTGTTCAAACTAGGCTAAAAAACCATGTCGATTTTTCGATTATTCTTGATAAAAAAGTTATCGGATGAGNCACGAGTATGCATGCCAAATTTCAGCTCTCTAGCTCTTATACCTTCTGAAATCCTTTTGCTCATACGGACGGACGGACGGACGGACGGAGGGGCGGACGGACGGACGGACGGACAGACGGACAGGGCTATATCGACTCAGCTCGTCGTCCTGATCAAGAATATATATACTTTATGGGGTCTKYSATGATTCCTTCTGCCTGTTACATACTTTTCACAAAACCATTATACCCTGATTTCCCATTTTCAATGGGTTCAGGGTATAAAATAAAAAGAGCCCTAGTAGAGTTGACCGACTGCGCGATATACTCATCCATTCGCAGGCCAAGGCACACCCTCGGCTCGGCTCATCGTCTTATCAAGAGTAAATACACCTAAAGGGCTCTACCCATATACTACTGTAAAAGGAATGCCAAAAGCAATTGAGTTTAGCAAATTACAAAAAGGCACACAATCAATATACCCCCTTGGATATCAATAAAAGAGTATTTCTAAGCCATTGTCTGTACTAACTACAGCTCTAGCAAAACTGACAGAAGATACAATAGAATATACCCATTTCGCATTGACAAACAGGGTATGCTACGGGGTATGCTGCAATTCCTAACTGTCTGGCACTCTGCTTATCCCTCAACTCACCTGTAAAGGCCGAAACGGCAATCTGTGTGTTGATAATGGTCGTCAGCTCGGAACTGGTGATGCCCAAACGCTCGAAGTGGACTCGAAAGATGACGCCGAACTGCTGAGCCAACGCAAACGTGACCAGCTGTAAATGTCAATAGAGAGAGAGAGAGAGTGAGAGAGATGTAATGTGAAGTTGATTATATATGTACAATATGTATATATATTTCCCTCAATCTCTATAGAGAGAGGGATTGCTGCTACTCACAATATTGATGCCGCTGGAGATGGCCACCAACCAGCCCCAGCCGCCATCGGGCGCCACAAAATCATCGCCCAGATCGCCCTTGTCCCGTCGCTTCTTCTTCTTCTTCTTGCTGGGATGCGTTGTTGCTGTTGTTGTTGTTGTTGTTGTTGCCTGCTTGGGTGGCTGTTCGTCATACTTTGGCGGCTGCTCCTTGGCCACATTTAGTCTTAGAGCATTACTGTTGTTGTTGTTGTTGTTGCTGCTGCTGCTGCTCATGTTGTTGTCGCTGCTGGGCGGGCTGCTGTTGCTGCCATTTTTGTAATCAGTCATCGTTAAATGTTCGCCTTATGCTAGCATCACTGGGTGGTCACTGAGATCGAAGGCTGCTGCTGCTGTTGTTGTTACCAAAGTCTGCAAAAGTTGTGGTTGGATTGAAGGCAAGACAGATAGAGAAAGAGAGAGAGAGAGAGAGAGGGAGTGAGGGGGGAGTGGGGTATATCTAGCAGTCATACATCAGCATTTCACTGGCCAGCCCAACTCATCTACAGATCATGACCTCTGGTTAAGCTAATGCCTCAATCGCTTTGACTCTCTCGATAACAGATGCTTGCCAGCTCTCTCTCCCCTCTCTCTCTCTATATAGCTCACTCTTTTCCCATCTAGTGGCTCATCCCATATCAATACATGTTTTCAATTACATTAACTAGATCCCTCCCATAAGTTCAGTGCAAATAATACGAAACTCTGCCAAGCACAAATCGATTGACTTCTTTCATACGGAAAACATCATCATCGACACGTTATTAATTAAAAGCTTTCTTCGGCGGCGTTACGTTACTGTGCTCTCAATATATATACAGCGCCAAGGGAGCAATAAAACCAAGCGAATATCGACTGAGATAAGATTAGATGTTAGCCCATGCGAAATGTTATTATTGGAGCTCACATATTTTGCCAAACAGAACGTGTTTGTTCAACTGATTTTGCGCACAGACTTGTTAATTAATCTCATAATCATTAAACCATAATCAGCTGAACCTAAGCGATTCTCTGGCATTAGCCAGTACATACATCATACGTCATATATCATATGCGGAATATCGTATACTGAGCAGACATGCATTACCAATTTATATCAGTCTATTAGCTAAGTATATCGTATACCGTACATTGAATATCGTATGTGGACGCAGTGTGCTGATTACGAACACTGTATATTGAACATTGCATATCGTATGTGGAATCAGTCTGTTGAATACGTATACCGTATATTGAACATTGAGTATCGTATGTGGAATATCGTATATTGAGCAAATATATATTACCAATAAATGGCTTATCGACTATCGTGTGAAATCAGTCTGTATATCGTACATGAATATCGTATATGCTATAGTATATTGAGCAAATGTGTTAAGAAACAATATCAATCAAATAGTTAGCTTTATCACATATTGTATATCGTATATCGAATATCGTATGCCTTAGATTGTATGTTGATCAAACGTATTGACATGCAATATAAATTAGAATCACCCTCAGTGAGCTGTGTCGCTTTCGAATATCGTATCGCTTGCTCAATAGCATATTGTCAAACAAAAATTATTACAATCGTCGCTATGTCGTAAATTCGAATAGCGTAAATGGTTTCCTACGAATAATAGCTCTATATATCGCATATCGTATGTCATATATCGTAGATGGTATATCTTCTATCGAATATCGCAGCTTGAAAAAACACATTGTCAACCAACAATCTTTATATTTTTCGCATATCGTCTTTGGAATCTCGTAAATCGTATATCGTAAACTAAGCACATGTAATAGTGCAATAGTTATAATCACTTCAGTCTGTCATAAATCGAATATGGAATAACTGATATCATAAGTTTAATGTCGCTTTTCGTATATTGGCAATTAATTGCCTTCAATCACAATCACTTCAGTCTGTTAATGTATGTATTTCATATTACCGTAAATATAATATCGTAGGTCAACAATTACTAAATGAATATCGTAAATCGTTTGCCGATCAAACGACTTTAATGGTGATTTCCAAAAAACTATCCCGAAAAGTAGCAGCCGCTTGGAACGGCCCAAACTCAATGCGGTCCCTAAACGCACTGACCACCAATTATATTCCATTTGCTCCCTCTCTTCACATAATTAAGCTCACAACACACACACTCACGCACACACAAAGTAACACCCATTATATAAAATTATTGGTGTCGTTCTTGTCCTTATCGCGGCATTGCAATATTTTAGAATTGATATCGAATTGGCTCTCATATCGGTGGCCCTTGACAGGCCGACCAATATCGCATTGACCAACTCATAAATGCCAATGACGGCGATATCATGTCAGCCGTATCTTTAGCTTTTCACTCCACAGGAAAGAAAAAAAAAAAAAAAAAAAAAAATCCCAGCTATTGACGACGTCAAACAGAAAAATTGGCACGCGGTGATAAGCCAAGTCGGACAGTTCCACATTTGAAGGCAGTTCAAATACTGCTCGTCTTCTCGTGCGCCTCCTTTTCTAAAAAACAGCAGTAATATTTCACGCTAGGTTTACCTAGGGCGCTTTCAAAACTAGCACCGCTAGAGCTGTGCTCAGCCGTGGAGCAACAGAGCTCAACTGTCCGCCTCAAACTCAAACTCAGACTCAGAGTCAGAGCTGGACATTATCCAGATGATAAGCTAAGCATGCGAGAATCGAGCTTTGGAACCGCGTACGATTAACAATATGACAAACTATATATATATATGCTTACATATATACAGAGAGAGGGAGAACAACACTGAATCACTTTGTCTGTCATATGCCATATGGAAGGTCGCTAAAAATTGAAATTTAAATTGTTTGCTAGCGAACTATAATTACTAATAGTTTTCCTACTCAAATAACGCTTTCAAATAAAAAATATAATTTATTTTTAATATTATTTTGATGACGCCTACAGACAGCGCTAAAAGTAAGCAACTAAGAGGCTATTTTCGTATAGAATTCCTTTCAAAATACTATAATATAAATAATATATCTATGTAAATTGAGCAAATCATATCTTAGTTTCTTTAAAAAATCAAATATATTTTATTTTAATTTTTTCTCTTAACCTTTTTTTTAGTCTCCAAGACCAAAATTACACATTCACATTAGCATTTCTTTAAAGCGCCCATTATTCGAATGCAATATATTATATTTCTCTTGATTTTTTTGAGGGAATATGCATAACCCACTTTTTGTATGACTTTACTTTAAGTTCCACAGAAATCTCATATCCACATCTCATCTATCCACATATATAAGAAAGCATCTAACAAGTTATATATATTATCTATAAGATATGAGAATGTCTATACACATACATAAATATAACATATAATATATGACAATTTCATTTCCCAGTTTTTCATTTGTTACATTTGTTTTAGAAATTCTATAAGTAAAGCACTTATAACACATTCTTTGTGGAAAATCAAATGTGGAATATATGAATATAAACATGTTTTGCGTTCTTATTTTCTACGTAGATTTCATATATGAGATGTTTAATAAGAAAATATGTAAAGTATTTATATAATATATTAAAGAATTTTGCATACTTCGGTATTACCGTATTACTGTATTACCCAGTAAAATTGTGATTTATATTGAATTGACTAATTATGGAGCACAAATTACGAAACGATTTTGATAAATCAATTAGAGCTTTATAGATTATACGGGCTATAAATCCGAATCGAAACTGACTTCAATACAATTTATGATGTGAGCAATGTTTAATTGGACTCTCTAGACTCTCTAGATAATATATTTAGTGTATATACATATATACATGTAGATTCACACTACAGCCAAACCAGCTGATCTATTCGTTGCTGACATAATAATAGTTTTTCTTTTTTTTCTTTTTTTTTTTCTTCTTGAAATATGTAAAACGTTGCCGAAGCAATCAATCATGAGTGACGAATACATATGCTAGGCACTGTGGTGCCACTTGGAACTCAAGGCAAGCAAAGTGATTGCTGTTGATATGCATATGCATATGACATTACTGGAGATACTATGTATAAGGCCTAACGATGATGTGCCAAACTCAACTGAACTATTCCATCGCGCGCTTTCCGAACGGAAGTGAGCCACTGTGCGAAAATAAGCTGCCCACTGTCGCCCACTGTAAAACTCGCTTTTATTGACAGCGTAAGTCAAGCATATAAACTTAGATACATACACATAAATATAAAAATATACACAAATACATACATTTATAGTTATAATCGTGCATAGTTTATATATATAAGTTGCGAATCATTGTACGCTAGGAAGTCGTCAGCTTTGTGATTATGAAACTCAGTTTTCGATTCGAATGTACAAAAGTTCATGTAAAGATTGCCCCACATTGAATGAGAAGACGAGATTAGAGTGAGTTATGCTAGCATATAAAGTGTGCGAGGCGCCTCAAGCTGTCAGCCACTGTTTAAATCAACTTTTCAAGTAATTAACAAACGAACGAACGAACGTACGGACGGACGGACGGATGGACAGGGGCTGGGTGCTGGGGGCTGACTTTTTGGCAACAAGGTGTTAAGCCGCGTGCGCGCCGACGCATTGAGCCCGTGCAAAGCTTTTGACGACTTGTGATTGATGGACGTTTAACGGCATGACACCTGAGGTCTGCACCGATAACAATGCCAAATCACGCCCTACACATGACAAGAGGCATGGCCAGGGGGAGGGGGCGTCGCTGGGCAGAGGATAACGAGTGCACGTGCTTTAGCTTTCCCTGGCTAGCCGCTGACCCTGGCAGCTAGCCAATGCCAAGCTCTTTCACCAAATATTTTTCACAACAAAAACACGCACAACACACAAACACAAACACAACACAACCCACACAGACAGGCACACGCACACACACAACGTTTATTAGCCGGCATTCGTTGAATGAACAAACAACAAAAACACAATTTCAATTTCAGTTTCAACAATAATTTAATTTCGACACTAACCAACAACGAACGACAACTTTTCCGCAACGTTCTCCAGCGCGAACTGAACCGAACAAATTTGTAAATTATAGTATTAACAGTCGCTAGCAAACCACAAATACAAATGCAAACACAGCACACAAATACACATACAAACTCAAATACAAAACAAATTCAAACAAACACACACAGTCACACACGCGCTCTCATCCATACACAATTAACTGTTCTGCTCTTACATTTAGTCTCTCTTTCTCTCTCACTCTCTCTCGCACTCTCCTTTGTGTTCCATATTATTTGGCATGTGGAGCAACATTTTCAAAATATATGTAGATATGTACATAACATATATA